AATACAAATGGACATAGTTGAACACAAAATGGGACTAATGGAAAAAGAGGAATTAGCACAGAAAATTAGAAATGCTAAGCAAAACTATTTTGAAGATGCAAATAAACCAGGCAGATGGTTAGCATATAAATTGAAAAAGGAGATAGAATCAAGAAAAATAGCTCAATTGATAGATGACCAAGGGCAAGCCTGCTATGGAAATACAGAGAAGAAGAAAAATGTATAGGACTTTTATCGGAAGTTATATTAACAAGAGATAATAGAGGAAGGGAAGATTAAACAATATCTACAGAAAGCGAATTTGCCTCAGATACCAAAAGATATTGAAATGATGTTAGAAGGAAACATAACGATGATGGAACTAATGAAAGCAATTAAAAACCAAAATAATGGAAAAGCACCGGGCCTGGACGGATTGTCAGCTGAATTTTATAAGACATTCCAGGAGCAGTTGAACTTTTTGCTTCTGGAAGTTATGAATGTAGTTATGTTAAAAAAGAGGACACCTAAATCATGGTCAGAAGCATATATTACACTTGTGCCAAAGGAGGAAGCGGACCCGCAATTAATTAAGAACTATCAACACATTTCCTTATTGAACTCAGACTATACAATTTTTGCTTCAATAATGGCAGAAAGACTCAAATGATATTTAAATATTTTTATTCACCCCAATCAAAATGGATTTCTACCAAAGAGACATATTAAAGACAATATGAGAACTATCCTGGACACATTGGAATACTATGAGGCACATCCTGAAAAACAAATGGCCTTGATATTCTTAGATGCACAGAAAGCCTTTGATAATGTAAATTGGCGATTTATGTTATTACAATTGGAACAGATGGGCTTTGGTAAGAAATTTATTCAAGCCATAGAAGCCATTTATCATGATCAAACAGCAAAGGTAATGATTAATGGGGAATTAACAGACTCCATTGCTATAAAGAAAGATACAAGACAAGGTTGCCCGCTGTCACCTCTGTTGTTTGTGTTAACATTAGAAGTGCTAACTAGAGATATAAGAGAAGCAAAAGAAATAAAAGGAATGAAAATTAAGAAAGAAGAATACAAATTACAAGCATTTGCAGATGACCTGGTTTTTATATTAGAAGACCCACTGGCAACAGCGACTAGGTTGATAGAAAAGATAGAGGAATATGGAGTGGTATAAAGATAAAACAAAGATTCTGATGAAGAATATGCTAGTAAAACAGAGGGAAGAATTGGAGGAAGTCTTGGAAATCCAAGTCACAAATAAGGTTAAATATCTGGGAATACATTTGACAGCAAGATGTGGCACACTTAAAGAGAATAATTATAATAAACTCAAGCAACAGATTGTGACAGACTTGGCAAAATGGGAAAACTTACAATTATCATTAATAGGGAGAATATCAACAATTAAAATGAATATTTTACCAAGAATTTTATATTTGTTCCAGACAATTCCAATTAGATTAGGGAAAGAGTATTTTGATGAGTTGAATAAAATAGTGCTGAAATATATCTGGCAGGGGAAAAAAGCAAGAATAAAATTAAAGTTATTACAAGATGCTACAATAAGAGGTGGGTTCGGTCTGCCAAATTGGGAGTTATATTATCAAGCGACAACTCTGATATGGGTCAAGGAATGGATTACATTGAGAAATACTAGATTATTGACACTTGAAGGACATGATTTGTTGTTGGGTTGGCATGCTTTCCTATGGCATGCTTTCCTATGGTACAAGGGAACTAAAACACATGGATATTTTAGAAGACACTGTATACGAGAGGCTTTATTATTACATTGGGAGAAGGCAACACTATTTGAAAATTCCAGTCTGGCTTTCAACTATAGAAGCGTTTTCATATCCAGTGATATATAAAATGGAACAAACCGTTAGGTATGGTCAAATTATGAATGAAAAGGGTGAACTTAAATCTATGCAAGAACTGGAGCAACGAAGTATAAGGATGAATTGGTTTTCATATGCGCAAATACATTTTAGATATGATAAAGATCTCAAAACAGAAGGTTTTTATAATAAATTGACTGCCTTAGATAAAATTTTAACAGGTACTGATGAAAAGGTGATTAAGAAATTATACGGATATTTATTAGAGGTTAAATTAGAAGAACAAGTTAAAGAAACAATGATTGCATGGGGGGAAAAAATTGGATACGGGATTGACCTAGAGAGATGGCAAAAACTATGGTCTCAAAATTATAAAATGACAATGTCAACTGCATATAAAGAAAATCTGTATAAGATGTTTTACTGGTGGCAATGAGAATAGCAAGAATGTTTAAGAATAAATCCGAAAAATGTTGGAAATGTCATCAGATACCTGGCTCATTTTACCATACGTGGTGGACATATGCAGAGGCGAAAAAATATTGGACTACAATCCACACATGGTTGGAAAAAATTATAAAAAGTCATACTGATTTTAAACCAGGGATATTTTTATTGGGTATTGTATGAGAGATATACAGTAGAGAACTGATTTATTTGATTGTGAATGTACTAACAGCAGCTAGAATTGTATTTGCAAAGAATTGGAAAGATGGGAAAATACCAACATAGGAGGAAGTTATTAAGAAAATAGTGGAATGTGCTAAAATGAGTAAATTGACATTTGAAATTAGAGAACAAGAAGAAAAACAATATTATAAGATATGGGATTTACTTTATCAATGGTTAGAAAAAAAAGTGTGGAAATGATATATTTTATAGATAACTTTACAATATAAAAGTAATAGAATTTAAGAGAAAATGATATAAGAATGCACTTTTTATTAGATGAAGTGGCAATGGAAGCTACATTACATATTGGTTTAAAATGTTGAATATCTTATATAAAGTGGTGGAACAAATAGTTATTGTCAAATGAAAGAATCATAATGATAATAATATATATATATATATAAAATGGAAAATGTGAGGATTTATGTTATTTGTGAAGGAGGACTATGGACACGTAGCACAAAAGAATTGCAACCAGTCGACACACTGTATGTAATTGGAAGATGGTTTTATGTTTTTATGTATTGTTTTGTCCGTGTTTGTTTAGAAAAATAAAAAACTTTTTAAAAAAGTCAAGTAAAAAGAGGCTCTCTTTAGTAACAGCTTGCTAAGCCTTTTGGAAGACTCTTGCCATTTTAGGGATTTCTTTTGTTAAGGAAGAAGGTTGCTAAGGCAAACCAATAAGGAAGTATAGTTGGCGGGGGGGAGTTGACAGAGAAATATAAAGAATTAAGGCTGTGATTTTAGTTTATTATTGTAGTAACTTGTAGTTTGATCTTCTTTGCTGTGGGTGGCTAAAATTTTCTGATCCTGATTAAAAGAGGAAGCCAGGATGGTGGAGCAAAGTATTAGAGATACTGTATTTTTTGGATTATAAGAAGCACTACCCCACCCCCCAAAAAAGTGGGTGCATGTTATAGAGTAAATATGGGACCATTTTTGGCCTTCCAAAGCCACCACGCGTCCAGTTTTTGCCCTCCCCAGTGTCCAGAAGAACTCTGCAGGCCAAAAAAGCATCCATTTCTTTTGCCTCTGTGGGTTGTTTTTGGCCTCGCCAGGAGGACAAAAAACATGGAGGCCTCCAGAGGCAAAAAATGGGAGCATTTTTGGCCTGCAGAGTGCTTTTAGATGCCGAGGAGGGCAAAAACGGGATGCACGGAGGCTTTGGGAGGCCAAAAACGGGCATGTCTTATAGTGAAAAAAATATGGTATATTTGAAAGGCGTTTAAATAATATCCAATTTGTTGACCAGCTGTACTCCAAGGATGATTAAAAAATCCTTCAAATTACTTTTGAGATGCAAACATGTAGATAATGTTACCAAATTCCGAGGCAACTTTACAAGTACTTGAAAATGCAGACGAGTTCATTGCAGTTTTGGAAGAACCTGATATTAACTTCCACTATTATGGTTTAAATATAAACCTCTCAACACAACTGAAAGAAGAGCGTTGAGAAAAAAGACAAAATTGGGACTTTTTCTGTAAGGATATTAACAAGATTGAGGATTTCATGATAAAAAGAAAGGCCTATAACTCCTTGATAAAATTTGCAGAGAAGAAAAAGATTTTACTCCATGAAGATAGTTCTATAAGGATAGTTTGGAGGGAGGGATCTAAATATAATAATTAAGTTTAAAACTTGCATGGTAAGAAGTCAAAGAAAAAGATGCATTAGAAAGTTTTGATTTAAAAAAAGTTTTAAAAGGGTGAAAAAAAGGGATTTTTTTCTTCAGTAAGGTCAAAGATTTTGAAAGAATACAATGAATCTTGTTAATAAAAATGTTGACGGTTCACAAAGATTATTAGGTAGAAATAGAAATACATACTATTTCTATAGCAAGGAGATAAAGCAGGAATGGTTAAATTGATTATTTTATTCAAAGAGGAAAATATATTCTCAGATATCACTTCTGGATGTTGTGCTTGTGATTAAAAAAAAATGAAACTTTAACTTTGGTTTTATTGATCAGAAAAATGTTGTTAAAGAAATGGTTAGTTATTAACATGTAAAAGCAAAAGGTTGAGGTTGGAATATTTTTATTTTGTATTGTACTAAGAAGAGTCAATACTTCCCCACCTTTTTTTCTTTTCCTCTTGTATCTCACACCCCCTTTCCCCCACTCCTTTCCTTCCCTTAATTTCTTATTTTTATTTATTTCCTTTGTATTTTATATAATAAATCAAATAAAATTTGTAGAAAAGAGCAGCAATAATATTAATGACAAAAATATGTCAAGAATACTAAGCCCTACAGAAACAATTAAATACACTGTTAATTCCATAATATGCATTAAAGTAGCTATTTAGCATTATAAAAACTGCTCTGCAAACAACTGGATTATTTTATGTTTGTTTTCTTATTCCTTTAATTTGACATTAACTTTTTTAAAAAATACATAAAATTCCATTTTATTTTCAATAAATATTTTTGAAACAAGACAATGCTATGCAGAATAAATCCAAGAGAGAATGAGATCCTTACCTCACCCTGGTTAAAATAATACTCCTGTCTGGAATTAAAAAAAAGCAAGCTTAATCAATTTGTCTAAAGAATAATAAACAAAACTTTAAATCATATGCTGTTACCTTAAACATTTTAGTTACATCAGACTCATAGACATTTATAATCATCAGATAATATCCTACGCTTCCAGTTACCGTTTGCAGGTTGCCATTTCGTGATAAATACAAAAATGAACTTAATCTATAGGTATTGTCCTGTGAGATCTTCCCCCCTGTAAGTAAATTAGGTTGCAATGTTGAAATTTTAAGATACCTTTAAAAAAAACCAGCCTTTTTATATTGGCTTTTCCTAGCTGCTAACTGTTACAATATCTGTCTTTTTAAGAATTTTAAAAAGTTTCTGAATTTAATTCTTGATTTATATATAGTGTTTTAATTACATTATTTTTCTAAGCTACTTTAACGAGGTTATATAACAAAATTGTGGAATACATCTCCTTACAAAGAAATAATTATAAAATGATGCAGACCTTTAAATAACTGAAATCATGATATTAAGTGTTCCTATTTTACTTTTTTAAAGAATTGCATTAACATTGAATCAACAATGTCAGTAGTACTGTGTTTATCAGGAACAGTTTGTTCCCAGAATATGCTATTAGAGAAAATTTGCAACTAAACTTATCTGAGAATAATATAAATATGATTTTCTCATTGAATACAGATAAAGGTAAAGCTTTCCCCGTCCAGTTGTGTCCGATTCTAGGGAATGGTGTTAATCTCCATTTCTTAATCAAGGGAGTCACTGTTGTCCAAAGACATTTCTGTGGTCATGTGGCCAGCATGACTGTACATCGAAGCCAGTAGTGGGATTCAAATTGTTTTACTACTGGTTCTGTGGGCATGGCTTGGTGGGCGTGGCAGGGGAAGGATACAGTAAAATCTCCAGTCAGAGGTGGTATTTGCCGGTTCTCCGAACTACTCAAAATTTCTGCTAATGGTTCTCCAGAACTCATCAGAACTTGCTGAATACCACCTCTGATCAAAGCACAGAGAAAGCTCTCACCTTCCCACCAAAGTGATACCTATTTACCTACTTGTATTTGCATATTTTCAAACTGTTGGATGGACCGGAGCTGGGGCAAGTAATGGGAATTCACACTTTCATGCAATGCTCAGGTCTTGAATCTGGGCTGTCAGTTTTCCAGCTGATAAGCTCAGCATCTTTAACTGCTGAATCATTGCTCCTGTCATTGAATATATGTAAAAAAAACCAGCCACTTGCATGTCATTAAGTGCACAGAGCAAAAGAGCTGCCTGTTGAAAGAAGGCAGACAGCTGTATTCTATGTTCAGAATAGAATTCCTGTGCGAGGCCAGAGAAAGGAAGCTCAGACCAGTGGTGGGATTCAAATTTTTTTACTAGCGGGTCTGTGGGCATGGCTTGGTGGGTTTGGTAGGGGAAGGATACTGTAAAATCTCCATTCCCTCCCCACCCCACCAATCTGCTTTCCAGCTCCATTCTCCTGTGCAGGGCAAAAGAAGAAGACTCAGCCAATCAGCTGGGACTCAGAGGCAGAGAAGAGATGGGGCGGGGCCAGTCAGAAGTGGTATTTGCCAGTTCTCTGAACTACTCAAAATTTCCGCTACTGGTTCTCCAGAACTGGTCAGAACTTGCTGAATGGTCTGGCTCAGACCATAAAGATCTGAGCTTTGTTTGTCCAGCCCATTGCAGGCCTTCCCCTCCCATCCATGTATAAAAGGAAATTCCTGCTCCAGGCCAGAGAAAATAGAATAGAATTCTTTATTGGCCAAGTATGGTTGGACACACAAGGAATTTGTCTTGGTGCAAATACTCTCAGTATACATAAAAGAAAAGATACATTCATCAAGAGTCGTAAGATGCAATACTTAATGATAGTCATAGAGTAAAATAAGCAATTAAATCATACTAGTCACAAGTGGGAGGGGATGGGTGATAAGGAGTGATGAGAAGATTAACAGTAATAGTAATGCAGACTTTGTAATGGTTGAACAGTGTTGAGGGAATTAGAAGAAGATTTGATCCCAAACACTCAAGCTTCCTTTTTCTGATTCAATGTAGCAGTTACCTTCCTCTGTGTGCTAGCTTTTAAAGCCTTCAGAAACATTGCATGAATTAGCTTTCTGGTTTAGAAAGCTAGCAAATATAATCTTTCTATTATATTTCCTTCCAGGAAGGAGACTGGAAAAGCATTCTTTAGCTTTCTGGCTGGACTCCCTCTTCAAATAGTCATTAAGTGACTGGCTGTACATTGAGGACTACCTGTATTTAATATATGATAGGGTAGATGAATTAATACAGTAGATTATTAACAAAATGCTTTAACTTTATATAACATAATACAAAGGATGGTACTTATACTTCATTTAACAGTTGCCTTTCATAAACATCTAAATATCCGTTCCCATTGCTCTATAAACAACAAACTTTCAAGCCTACTGTAGTACAGAACATCCAAACTAGTTTTCAGAATTGGGAACTTCATGCCTGCATGATATTTTTGTGTTGTGAAGGATGTTCCTATAAGCTCAGAGACAAGAAAGAAAGTCTATTTTACTGTGTGCAAGATATGTAACATTAAAAAGATAAAATAGCCATGTGTTTAATATCTAGAAAAAAATGACAAACTGATATTAAAGGTACAGGAATCCTTTACACCAGGGCTGTCAAACTCCTGGCCCACAAATCAGATGCCTCACATTCTGGCCACACCCATGCCCCATTTAGCAAAGGGGAAAGAAGTCCCAATACGTCACGTGACACTGCTGTGATGACATGAGTTTGACATCCCTGCTTTATACCTTTAAAAATACCAAATACTACTAATAGTATTTCTGTAATTGGATCTTCAATAAAAATATATTTACCTTTCAGAAGATTTCTTTTTAAGCATAATGTATCGAAACACCTATGAAACATTGATTAAAAAGTAAATAACACTTTTTTCACTACGGACATCTATGAATTACATTGGAAGAGATACCTACTGCTCATCATTTATGTGCTCATGCACTACATTACTTTAGACAATGAAGTTATTCATACCTGAAAGGGCAAGACTTTGTTCTGTGACATTATTGCAAAAAGACTAAATAAATTTATTAGGTATAACTGAAAACTGAGTGGTTGATACATCCCTTTATATCACCTGAAAAACTTATCTACAGCATCAATCAAAAAGTCTAAAATGTGACTTTCTTAATTATAGTAGGAATTGGGATGGGATAGAGGGGAAATCATCTAAAATTAGTAAAAGTATTTTACATATAATAGTTTCAAATAATTCCTCCATTTTGCACATTTCCTAACTCTCTGAACAAGCAGTCCTCATTTAGCAGTGGCCTTGGATAGTGACATTTGCAAATATAACACTAATAAACTGTAATAAAAATCATTTTCCAACCAATGTGTACATTTACTGCAACAAATATCTTCAATGTGAAATTGACTTAGGTTTGGTCAATTTCAATCTTCTTAACTTGCAGTTAGCACTTTTTAGGGAAGTGCTGCACTGCAGAGAAAACAGTTCAGAAAGAGATAGCTGAGAAGATGCAAAACAACAACAAAAACGACACACACACACACACACACACACACACACACACACACACACACACACCAGATCAGACAAAGGGCACTATGAGAGAATTTTATCTGAATGAGATGGCAGCAACCAGCAATTTCACTTTCTCTGATAAATGGTGCGCTTAGCGACTCTTTCACTGAAACAAATTGCAATCACTAAATGAAGCCTAGCAATACTTCCATAAACCTCTATATTAGTCTTTTAGGAGGGTTTCAGAGCAGGAAAAGGTGTAAAAACTCATTCTGATGTTTTTTGCCTAAGAGTGTACACTATTCAATACATTTAAAACTGTATTGTTCACCGGCATTTTTGAATAACAAAAGTTGATACATTCAACCTCTAAACTACTTTTCTGTGGATGATAGGATCCCTAGGATTGTTACATCAAAATTGGGTAGCTGAAAATTGGACCTCCAATAATTATTTTGTTTTAATATTATGACACAAATATACTAAAGGTAAAAGAAAAAAGAGTGATGGCATACCTTTATAACGATTACTGAAAAAACAATAAAAACTACTGGAAGCAGAAATGTCTTCATATATCTAACTGGAGTCTGAAATGAAAGTAAGTTTTATGTAGAGAAATTTGACGATAAAACTGTAAAAAAAAATCATTTTTAGGAAGTAGTCACAATTACCACTAATACATCAGTATTTTATTTTGTCTGGCATTTTCAATTATCACATCTATGAATTTCTGTTCCCCTTCTTTCTATTCAAAAACTCCTGCCTCATCTAGGGTCATGTGCAAATTTATTTTGTAAAATTCCTTCATTTGAAATGAAACTTTAATTATATAATTTATCCATTAGGAAAATCACTCTTGAAAGACATATAAATACATCACAGGATTTAGAATCCTTTATCTTCAAAGGATCCTCTATTGGATTCATGTGGATTATTTTATATAGTTAAATGATCACTTCCCAGTCAGAAATAATTCTTATTTATGCCTAATTTGTTCACCAATACACATTTGGCAAACTATTTTGGTTTGGACTGGGAAACCTTTGGGCCATAGTAAATAAATATGCATTTATTCTGAACTCATTTCATTGTTCATTTCTACTATATTATAAAATTTAATTTACTTTTAAATAAGTAAAACTATTTAAATTAGAATTTCACTTTTAATAGTGAAACTATTATGCTACTGAGTAAATGGCCTATGGATTATATGACCAATCATTATGATTCAATCTAACTGGTAATGCAGAAACAAACATCAACGAAGTAGCAAGTAGAGATAAACTGAACAGCATTTTCTTAACTTCACCCTTAATGTATATAGTATATAAATTTCCCATGTGTGAGAATTGAGCACTTTGTCATTCATATGCTAATTATTCAGAAAAGTGTTTAGACCAGGTGTCAGCAACCCGCAGCTCTGGAGCTGCATGAGGCTCTTTTGTCCCCATGCTGTGGTTCCCTGTCAGCTGAACCTATCACTGGCTGGCTTTGCCCCTCGCCCTTCCCTCTCAGTCACTCTTTGCCTGGCCTAAGAAGATAAGGGCAATGATGGTGGATGGAGACTTGCTCCATATTCCAGAGTGGGAGCCAAGTGCCCCTGTACTTGCCTCTTCTTCCGGCCCTTGTTAGTGCTGCACGCACCTTGGTCGCTCAGGGAAATGCGCGACTTGCTCTCCACCCCGAGGCACTGTCCTGGCTTGGTTACAGCTGATGCTCCACATCATAATGGGCTCCAGTAGGAGGAGGGAAATAAAGAAAATATTGGGAGCCACAAAACCTGGATAGGTGTGGTTGGGGGTGGTCATGTGATTGGGTGGGAGTAAATGATGTTGAGTTGGCCACGCCCACCCTGGTTATATGGCTCCAGGTGTTTTTCTCTCTCTAGGAAATGGGTCCAAATGGCTCTTGGAGGTTTAAGGTTGCAGACCCCTGGTTTAGACAAGGTTTTTAAAGTGTCTCTGCTTTTGTACACACACAAATATATATATACATTCAATCTAGTCAAAGTATCATTTTGGATGGAGGTGAGTTGTCAAAGTAGAAAAAAGACAGATAAAAATTGAATGTTTTAAATTTTTTAAAAAATAGAATTAGTCCTTGATTTACGACCAGTAACTTAGTAGCTAGTAACCATTTAAAGTTATTTACACATGTACCTTGGGATTAGTTAAAATCCATATTTGAAATTCCAAAAGTTGTCCCTCCAGTCACATGACTGAACTGTGAGACCTCAGCAACAGGGCTATACTTATAGCCATTTGCATATGCCCTGTGATCATGTGGCTGCATGTTTTATTGAAAAGCAGTACCTACTTCCAGTTTTTGCCAAAACCACACCCATAGTGAACCATTGGTTTGCTTAAGAACTGCCAAAAAATAAGTCATAAAATTTGGTGTGACATATGGCCGATTTGTTTTACAACTATCATGACTTAGTACTGTGATGGCCCAATTTTATTTGTAAGTCAAACACTATCTGTATCAATAGATTTGTATGTTAATTTTATTAATTGCAAAATGTTTGAAATGTACTGAATGAATGAATCAATGATACTTACCTCTTTTTCCATGAAATCAAACTCCACAGCACAAGTATACATAGATGTATCAAAATCTCTATAACCAATAAGTTTTGCTTTTAACAGATTACTTATATGGACCTAATTGAAAAAAATGACAGTGAAATATTTGTTAGACAAATTTGTATGGATGTGAGCTGTAATATAATACGGGGAAGAAACCATTATTGGCTGATAACTATATTCAGTTTTGATTAATTATTTCTATCATTTTACACTTAGTATAAGTGTCCTGTACCCCTCTATTTTTAATCTGCAACCAGACACTTCTGCAATTCACTGAGAGAGCAACAAATGTACAACCTACATAATTCCCAGCATCTCCACCAGCATAAAAGAGTGAAGAAAGGAGGACCAGAAGAATGCCCCTGCAAAAGTTTCAGTAGCTTCTGGGTGTCAGTGAAAATGGAGCCTTAGTTTTTCATTCCAAGATGAGGACATGTATTACTTGACACCTGCTTCAAATCTTCAAGAAAGAGTGCTGTGAAACTTAACTACATCACTCAGAGAGTATACTTGATACAACCATAGTTTAAGATATTTACAAACTGTCAAATAACCTACTACTGCACAACGATTGCTGTGTTCCATAATTTTCTTCAGGTAGCACATCCGGTAGAAGATTCCAGGAGGGTGATTAATTAATAGATTTAAACTTAGTATTAATTTACTTTTTAAACTACACTATAATACTCTATTCATGGGCATAGTTCTCAAATATATTTTTACAACTTCAAGTAAAATAATGGCATCTAATATGAAAATTTAACATTATACATATTACCAGAAGAGAATACAAAATATACAAAGCTTACATACATTATTCTGACAGCAAACATAAAACCTAAGTTTTAACTTACATCATCAGATATTCCAAATATTAGACACATCAAGAATTTCAAAATAATTGTCCCAAGGAGGCAAGAAAATCCTTCCAAAGCCTATAGAAATGATAAGAACAGGGATAACATCCTTCAGATTGGATCAATTATATTTGATTGCAATTTCCACATTTATTCTGTTCCTAAACTGTAAGAAAACTTAGTCTTAAAAATAGGAGAGGCAAAATCTGATTCATCTACATTTTGATTTGATTTTTCTGCAACTCCATTATTTTTCTCATTTTTTGCAGAAAATATTCAGTCATCATTGTTTAAAGTATGAAAGAAATACTTTAAAAATTGACCAGTACTAGAGAAAGTATATATTAGAAAGATTTCCACAAAAGTACAACTATAATTATTATAACAAAATAGCTATTTTAACTTTACATAACTATTTGTTCTGAACCATATTCTAAATTTAAATAAATCAGGAACAAGAAGGAAGCTTTCATTCAGGAACTCAATAAAGTTTATTAAGGAACTGAATAAAGATTTTTGCTTATGTTTCTCTGAATAGTCAAAAATTACTTTCTCAGCCATTCTTTTATTATTAAATTTAATTGTAAGCCATGATTTTATGAATTTAAAAACTAATAATAACTTGAGCCTATTGCTACAATGAGATGCAATAGCAACCTGTTTACTCACAAATAGAAGAAAAAGCAGAATGCAAGCCAAGTATTTTGCTCTGCCTATGCTTGCAATGCTGTGTTTATAGAATCAGTATTTCTTTATTTATAGCAATAGCACTTATATACTTATATTATAGACTTATATACCATTTTACAGAGCTTTACAGCCTTCTCCAAGTGGTTTACAAAGTCAGCATATTGCCTTCAACAATCTGGGTCCTCATTTAACCCACCTCGGAAAGATGGAAGGCTGAATTAACCTTGTGCCGGGTGAGATTTGATCTGCCTAATTGCAGGTAGCCAGCAGTCAGCTAAAGTAGCCTGCAGTACTGCACTCAAACCACTGCGTCACTGTATATCTGATAATATTTGTGCCATAAAATATTAAACTTACCCACAAAGGAATATTTTTAGTATGCAATTTCAGGTACTTAGGGCCCAGTTCCAGAATACTCTAGAATAAGAAAATTGTTGCATTAGCACTTACAGCTTTAGCATTAGTTCCAGGATATTTCTGTAAATGTGTCAGAGTATATTCATGAACTGGAATAGAGCATGGAAACAAGGTCAGCCAATGAATAGGCATAGCAACTAAGTCAGCTAACGAGGACTGTTTTGGAAACTGAAACTAGAATTAGCCTAGGCTGGAAACTGAAACTAGAAGTAGCCTAGGCGTGGCTCTGTATTAAGCTCTGCAGCTATATTGACCTCTGAGTCTGTCTATTGAAAATGAAACTGGTTCTCTCCTCTGCTGTGTATAATGCTTGCCTGCTGAACTAAAATGAAACTGATGTCTGTTTCTGAGCTGCTGAGTTGCTGCTGAAGCTCTGAACTTGCAACATGTCTACTTCTGTTTGAGGTTGCTCCATGTTGGAGAAATCTACAACTAGTTTGTAAAATGTTTATAAAGACATTAAATGAAGCATCAGCCATCTATGTTTATTCTTCTGGTGCTGAATTAACGCTGCAATATTCTAATAGGTTATTGGCCCAGAAGGCCAGAAAAAGACTGAATTGTAATTAAAGCTGAGAGACTGCCTGTTTTAAAAGTAAGAAACAAGGCAAGAGTCTTTGAAGGATTGCTGAAAAAATTAAAGAGAGCTCTCTACCCTGTTTAGGTCAGAAGAACTATATTATTTGTGCTGCAAAGATGGAACGTTCCCCGAAGGCTAAACAGCTTTGGAATATTGTTGAAAATCCACTCCTGGCATCATTGAATGCTGCAGATCAGAAGAGCATTTTCATATTTCCTCTTAAGTTTAGAAGACGATCAATTTATCAATATAGCTGATTTAAAGACTGCAAAGGAAGTCTGGGATAAATTGAGGACTGTTCATGTGAGTGTATATATGCAACATCGTACAATTATCAAGAAAGTCATAGAGCTCATTTGCAGCCAAGAGATTCAGTGGAACAGCATTTTGTTCATATTCAAACTTCGTTTGTGGAATTAGAACAATATGGGATGAGGATTCCTGAATCTCAGAAAGTGCTCTTAGTTTTGAACAGCCTAGATGAAACGTGGGGCATTGTGTCTGGAGTGTTTGAATGCAAACCAGAGCAACAATTGAGTTTGGAAGCACTGAAAGCGTGTCTGATAGCTGAAGCGCAGAAATGCCATTACAGAAAAAGCCACGAGGAGGAAAAATTCCTGAGGAGGGGCCCAAGAAGAGCAATGGAAATTTCCACAGCCAGACTATCTGCAGAGAGCAGCACAGAGATAAGAGTCTTGGAGTTTCCAGAGACCAACAGAACAGCAGTAGAAGATATCAGATTACAGCTAAGAAGAAAGCCCAACAACAGAAACAAAGTTTCATCTGTGGTGACACTAATTTAAAGAAGGACTGCTTGCAAGACAGAAGTAGTTTGCAAGGACAGATTGATGGACAGATTGCTGTTGCAAAAGTCTGCAATAGTAATGAAAGAAATCAATGGCTTATAGACAGTTGGGCCAGCCAAACGATTATTAATATTGCTAAATTATTTTATAGGATGGATGCAGCTGCAGGAGATACAGTAGCCTGGGCAAATAGCAAAAAGGCTAAATTCACTGGAAGAAGCAGTGTGCAAATTCTACATTTGGAAACAAGATTTAATAATGTTTTATGTATGGAAATGAAACATAATTTGCTGTGTGTCTCTAGTTTAGACAAGCAAGGCTTTGAGACCACATTTGTAAATGGGCAGTGTCTTATAAAGAAAAATGGAGACTTCCAGTGGTGACTCATGTCATGGAGGTACAGAGGAACAGCTCTCCATTCCCTGTACAGGGATTTTCATGTCTGGCAGCTGATCGAGGTAAAGTTCAGTCTCGGAGGGACCAGCAGAGAGAGGAGGGAACTCTTGGAGATGATAGGGAGAGTTGTGGCTCCTAGCAGATTGAAGAGGAGAGCCCGCAGCCTGACATGAAAGAAGCCAGCCCTAGGGCAGACCCAAAGACGTGGCGAGCCGAGGCAGTATGACAGCAACAGGCAAGTTGTGGATGTAACCGAGTCTAGAAGATTGGTGAAGATTGGATCAGAGAGCAGTCAAATTGAAAGAAGCTTCCAGCGAGGAAGGGCTAAATGTGAAGAGTAAGTGGCAGAAGTTTCTTTTCCCCTCCTGCACAGGGAGCAGATTGGCAGCGGAGGAAAGGAAAGACTAAAACAATAAGATTATAAGATTATAAGAGAAGAGAAAGAGAAGAAGAAAACCTTTTTCTGGGGAAACTGCCTTTTGAAGATTGACACTGTTTAACTCCAATTCGGGAAAAAGATAGAATTGATGGGTGGGAGGAAGAATTGTGGATGAATGACTGTGCAGATCATAGGAGACTGCCATTGTGAGAAAGAAGAAGAACGGAGAACTGATGCAATACTGACAAGTGATGACTAACTGTTTTTTTTTCTTTTTTCCTCTTCCTACATGAATTAATACTATCAGATTTATATTAATAATATTTATTTTTACTTTTATTTATAATACTTTATCGTTTATATTAATATATCATTATTGAATTAATAAAGCTAATATATTTATAAGTAAGAAATTTAAGATAAATGAATAATTAGATTCCATTCCTTAGTAGTATTATTTACATAATCTTTATATATAGATTATGTTTACATAGAGTTATATAGAGCATATTAGAATTTGTTTAAATTTTTTAATAATTTCTGAATATTAAGATTGGAACTGATTTACATACTTGAAGCACTTATAATTTTAGCAACTGATAATTAATTAATATTATAGTATAAGGAATGTTACTATAGTATGATACATTATTGATATTATTGCCATCAATTAGTAAGCATTAAGTATTAACTGTATTAATAGTATTTATTGTATTTATTATATCACATTTCGTATCTTAAATAATTATTTTTCTTCTTAATTGTACTGATAAATTATTAACTAACTACTGATGTTAATTATTATCTAACAACTGATTATTAATTGATATTATTTATCTTTATTAATATTGATTTATTTTATTTATTAACTAATTTATTGACTACCAAATTGAGAAATAACTCCAAAAGAGACTAATTGACCCAGATGGTAATTTGGGAAAACATCTGTAAGATATTAGGATAACAGCATAAAATTATAGAGAGATGACCAGCATTACAACTGTCAAGACAGGGACAAAAACTACATCATCCATATCATTATCCAGCCTGGCAACATCCAATCAGTGAACAATTGGAGGTATACTCACTACGGAGAAACCAAATCCCATTCCTAATAAGCAGATGATGCAGATCACCCTACTATCGATACAGGAAACAATGATTAAATTACAAGAAGCTATGTTGAAAAACCACGTGGAAATTAAATCTGAAATGGGTGAGATGAAATCTGAATTAAAATCGGAGATGGGAGAGATGAAACTGGAAATAAACAACCTGGATGATAAAATGGGATCCATCCAAGAAGCAATTAAGAAAAATGAAGATAGAATAAAAACAATCGAAAATCAAACAGAACAGACAGAGAAAAAATTAGAGGCAATGGATCAGAAGATCATGGGATACAATAAAGAAATGGAAGAATCTCTCATTCATCTCGAGATGGATCGGGCTTCTTTTTTCTTGAGGTTCCAGAATGTAACAGAAGAAAAAGAGGAGGATCTAGCAATACTGATGGCAGAGTTGTTGGCAGAGGCACTTCAGAAGGTTAGTCAAGAAATGATAAAGGAAATTGATGGTGTCTACAGAGTGTATACCAGCTATGTCAGCGCCATACATTCCCTAGAGAGGTGCATGTAAGGCTTGCATGAAGGAAAGTAGGAGACATTATCTATAAAATCACTAGAGAGGAACCACTGATGTATAAGGGAAAAAAGATAGTCATATTGAAGCAGATCCCCAGGAGAGTATGCAAACAGCGGAAGGATTACCGATTTTTGGTAAGTCATCTAAATAAAAAGAACATCCTGTTTTGATGAATTACACCAGAGGGAATGATGATTACATGGAATGAAAATAAAATAAAAATTGATAACCTGGAAAAAGCCTAAGACTTTTATAAACAGCTGGCAGGACCAGAAGAGGAAAGTGGTAGCAGAGAGGAATTAGATCCACTGAGTCAAGATGAACAAAGGCAAGGAAATAAAGAGAAGGAGCAAGAAAGGGGAAATAGTGAGAAGAAAGTTAACCAAGAAGAGGAAGGAGTACAAACCAGAAATCAAAGAGAAACTAGAGCAAACAGAAGGCAGAGATTGGAACAGAAATAATAATGGAAGAAGGACTAAAGTTAGTATCGATTAATGTAAATGGTTTAAATATATCAATAAAAAGAAGAATATTATGCAAAATAGAGAAACAAAAGATGGACGTTGTGTGTCTCCAAGAAGTGCACATTAAAAAACAAGATGAGAGACTTCTACAGTACAAAAAAACTAGGAAAATTATATACAACGTTAGCAGAAGAAAAAAAGAGAGGGGTAGCTATATACGTTAAGGAAGAAATAATATCAAAATTAGTATATACAGACATTATTTATGGGAAGAAAAAGTATACTATTGGATATATGCACCCAATAAAAATCAAAGCGGGTTTTATAAAAATATATACAATAAAATTATTGAATTAAGAAACCAAAATGTGCGTGTAATTGGTGACTATAATGCAGTTGTAGACATCCGAAAAGACTAGTGAGTTACACTAGTGAACAAAAATGTAAATACAAAAGAAACATACTACCAAAAACCTTTTTTGAAATGTCAGAAGAGTTAATTTTTTTTTTAAATAAACTTTATTAGTTTTACTTTTTAAAAAACAACAACAACACAGCTACCAATTATATACAACAAAAAGACGAACAGGTCTTGGCATAGGCCAAGAGGGAAAGAGAGGAAAGCTTGAGAGAGGAAAGAGGGAAAGGGAAGGGAAGGGGGGGGGGAAGTGGGGAAAACAAAAGTAGAGAAAACAATTATAATAAAACCATATTTTTGTGACTGTCTGTAA